ACGTTTAACTAGAAAAATTTGCTCGTGCAATAAAGTTGTTCGTAATGCTACAAAACTCTCAGTTGGTCTTCAACGAAAACTGCAAACAATTATTCAACAGCTTAAACTGATTAGAAAACTAATTTCAAAACAACACCAACATGTAGGAACAGGTTTGATTGGTTCAGCAGCAACACCACCACCGCTTTCAAAGAGGGTTTTATGGGAAAATGTTTTATCTTGTTTTCAGGGAAGGGTACGAACTGGGATTATCATCAATTTAATTCACAAGGATGTCGATCAATTTTTGAATGATGCATTTAGGATATTTCTGAAAAAAGTTACTGAAATTTTACGTGAGTTTCCATTAATTAAAGTCAATACAACATTTTGTGGTGAATTTATTAAAGCAAAAAATGATCGAGATGTTTGTGACGTTAAATATTTCAATACCAAAAATGTCATTATTGATGTTGGAACAGATATTTTTGATTGGTTCAATGATCATGTACGAGATGAAATTTTGAACAAGCTTTCGGAATTTCAGGAGCGCGATTCGGGCTTTGCATTACGTAGAATACTTTATTTGGAAATTAATATAAATAAAATGGAAATTGGAAACGGATCATCTTACATTAAATTACCTATTGAAATTTCAAAGAAACGGGCTTGCATCAACATTAAGAATTCTGATGAAGCTTGTTTCTATTGGTCTGTGGTATGTGGTCTCTTTCCTTCCTCTAAGCATAAGGAGCTAATATCATCATACCCATATTATAGGGCTGTTTTGAATACACACAATCTACCTATCCCAATGCCCCTCAATCAAATTCAAAATTTTGAAAAGTTAAATAATATTTCGATTAACGTTTACGGTTTGGAACTGAATGTCGCCAATAATAAACAATTTTACACAGTAGCACCGGTTAGATTAACAAAACAAAAACTAGATAAACACGTCAATTTGCTGATTGTTCAAAACAAATATTATCCAAAAGTAGACGATTATGATGTCGAACAACCAGCAGAGCTACAAGATGAGGAAATTAGGTATCATTATTGCTATATTAGCAACTTGTCTGGACTTGTATCCTCGCAGCTCAGTAAATATAAAACTAAGAAATTTATTTGTGATAGGTGTTTGAATTATTTTGCATCTGAACAGCGCCTAATGGAACATGAAAATTTGTGCTCCAGATTAAATGATTACAAGATTACTTTCCCCAAATATGAACACGTTGAATTTCGAAATTTTACTTACAAACAACACACACCTTTTGTCATCTATGCTGATTTCGAAAGCATACTTCAAAATTTAAACAACAGTAAAATTTCGGAAAAAACTCGTAAATATCAGAAACATGTTCCATTTAGTGCTGGATACTACCTCAAATGTGGGTATGATGATTCCCTATCCTATTTCAAAAGTTATCGAGGTGTAGACTGCATGCAATGGTTTGTTGAACAAGTGTCTCAAATGTCTAAATTTATTTATTCCAAATTTAAACATATTGTACCTCTTATTGCTAGTGAAACTATTAGCTTGTCCAATGTGTCGTCGACACATTGTCATATTTGTGAGAAACCTTTCACAAACAGCGATAAGATTGTTCGTGATCATGATCATTTTACGGGGAAATTCCGTAATTTTGCGCACCAATCCTGCAACCTAAACTATCGTAAGCATTTTATAGTTCCAGTAGTTTTCCATAATCTCTCCGGCTACGATATTCATTTCGTAATCCGAGAGCTTGCTAAGCATGGCCGCGTGAGCGTACTACCCGTGAACAAAGAAAAATACATTTCGATCACCTACAGGGAACCTAATAATGGGCTGCGTTTCAGATTCATTGATTCACTAAGATTTTTGGGTGCCTCTTTGGACGAACTTGTCTCCACGTTGAATAAAAAGGACTTGCTGATATTGAAAAAAGAATTTTCAGACTTGGAGCCGTCAAAATTTCAACTATTAACTCAGAAAGGTGTCTTTTGTTATGATTATATCAATGATTTTTCAGTATTAAACGAAACTTCTCTACCTTCTATCGATAAATTCTACAACAAGTTAAATGATGAAGATTTAAGCGATGAAAAGTTCGCTCACGCCCAAAATGTCTGGCATTTATTCAAAATTCAAAATTTAGGTGAATATTCGGATCTCTATTTGAAAACTGACATTTTACTTTTGGCCGATGTTTTTGAAAATTTTCGTAAAAACTGTATAGCTACACACAAACTAGATCCAGCGTGGTATCACAGCATGCCTGGTTATACTTGGGATAGCATGCTCCAATTTACGAAATGTCGTTTAGATATTCTTCGGGACATTGATCAGATAATGTTTGTGGAGCAGGGAATTCGTGGAGGCATTTCCGTATGCGTGAATCGTTATGCTGAGGCCAATAACAAATATATGGATACATATGATGTGTCAAAAGAATCAAGGTATTTGCTCTATCTCGACATGAATAATTTATATGGAAAAGCAATGACCGAGCCCCTACCCTACGGTGGTTTTGACTGGGTAGACGGAGACGACGACGACCTTAAAAATTTTGATGTTATGGCAGTGGAAGACGATTCTCCAGAGGGCTACATCCTAGAAGTTGATTTGGAATATCCTAGACACTTACATGATTTACATAAAGATTTACCATTCGCGGCAGAACATCGTAAGCCGCCAAATTCAAAGTTACCGAAATTAATGACCACGCTGTACGACAAGAAAAACTATGTTATACATTATCGAAATTTAAAACAGGCACTGAAACATGGCCTAGTGCTGAAGAAAATTCGCAAGATTTTAAAATTCAAGCAGTCAATGTGGCTCAAGCCCTATATCGAGCATAACAATAACTTACGTAAACAGAGTAAGAATGACTTTGACAAAAATCTTTTCAAATTGTTCAATAACGCGGTGTTCGGAAAGACTATGGAAAACATACGAAATCATAGGATTGTGAAATTTGTAAAGACGTGGGAAGGGCGGTATGGTGCAAAAAATTTAATATCTAGTCCAAGATTTCATAGCAGAACCATTTTAGATGATGATTTATTGTTGGTTGAATTGAAAAAAGCCGAACTATTTTTCAACAAACCATTGTATGTAGGCATGTCGATTTTAGATATTTCGAAAATATTCATGTATTCATTTCACTACGACTACATGTTGTCCAAATTAGATTCAGAAAAATGTCACATTCAATATATGGACACCGACAGCTTCATATATGACATCGAAACCGATGATGTATATGAAGAAGTCATCAAAGCCGACTTGTCTAAATTCGATACCTCAGACTACCCTCCAGATAACCCATATAACATACCGCAGGTCAATAAAAAGGTTTTAGGTTTAATGAAAGATGAACTGAATGGTGATATCATGACTCACCAAGTAGGCCTGAGATCCAAAATGTACAGCTTCAAGACCCTTAAGGGAAAAGTTGTGAAAAAATCGAAAGGCGTCAAAAAAAATATAGTCAAGTATAAAATTGCATTTGAAGATTACGTTGATTGTTTGAAAAATTTTAAAGAAAGTACCGTAACGCAGAGAACCATTCGGTCTTTTCAACATAATGTGTTCAGCATTGAACAATCAAAAATTGCACTAAGTCCAGCTGACGATAAACGTTTCTTAGTGCCCAATTCCTTCAATACTCTTCCCTGGGGGCATTATAGTCTTGATGTTGGTGACGAATTAAAAGTATAGTAATGTTGAGCATCAATATGTTTTCTCTCTTTCTCTCTCTCTCTAACGCGTATATGTATGTACTTTGTCAATTAATTTATAAGGTCAATATTAATAATTGTTTGTATATTTGGAATAATGTATCATTTTATCTCTCTCTCTCTCTTACTCGTATTATGTATATATTATGTTAATTAATCAATTAGGTCACTAATAATAAATGTATATTTGAAATAATGTATCGTTCTATCTCTTTCTCCCTAACTTGTATTATGTATATATTATGCCAACTAATCAATAAGGTCACTAATAATTGTATATTTGAAATAATGTATTATCTATCTCTCTTTAACTCATATTATGTATATATTATATCAATTGATCAATAAGGTCACTGATAATTGTATCTATTTTAATAATCTATAATTTTTTAATAAACAGTTCAATATTTATTGTATTTGATTTTTATTTCCCCGACAGCATCCTGTTATACGACACAAAAAACTTGACACTATGTACTCTAAATGACTCCACGGATGTGACCCAGGTCGCTATTACGTCATCACAGAACCCGAACCCTGAATCGAACTATGTACTCTGTACTCTAGATGACTCCACAAACGTGACCCAGGTCGCTATGACGTCATCACAGAACTCGATCCATGTCGAACTTTGCACTATGTACTCTAGATAGCGCCACGGACCCGCACTGACGTAACCCACGTGACCCAGGTCGCTATGACGTCATCACAGAACCCGAACCATAATTAAATATACGTAGCGATTTCGAAACGACTCGGAGCAATCCCTTCCACGCAAACTCCATATTACAGGAACCTGTAATTGCAAGAATTCACCGCAATAACCCGGTATGACGTCATCACAGGTGACAGATGACGTTTGACAGGTGACGTTTGACAGGTGACGTTTGACAAATGACGTTTGACAGGGGACGTTTGACAAAATGGCGGGAAAACATTTCCCCCACCCCTTTTTCTGGTACCCATATTAAAATCCGGGGGCCCCTTTTTGGGGGGCGCAGCCCTGTGGGCCCCCTTTTGGGGGGCGGAGCCCTACGGGTCCCAACTACAGCATCCTGTATTACGAACTTCACACTATGTACGCTAGATGGCGCCATGACGTTTGACAAGATGGCGCCGACGATGCATCCACCTTCGTGTCAACGGCGGCGCATCCACCACGTGTCAAGAATGAAAGATTGAGGTTATGGTCGGATTTTTGTGCTAGAACCCCCTTTGATTATCTACTATTTTTATTATAATAAATTCAATATTTTTTCCAGGCGAGTACAATTTGGATGGTATCAAAGCAATCCAGTGGGGCAGAACGCATGAAAAAGATGCTCTAGACCATTTGAAGTCTAATTATAACTTGAATATTCGACCAACCGGAGTATGGCTCTCAAATTCAGGACTTCTTGGTGCCAGCCCTGATGGATTGATTGATGAAGAAGAGGCCATTGTGGAAGTAAAATGTCCTTATTCTCTCAGAAATGATCAATTGTCCGAAAAATTAAAGAATTTAAATAAATATATAATTTTTTATGATGATGAGGGCAATTTAATGTTGAATACTAATCACAATTACTATCACCAAATTCAAGGTGCTTTACATATTTTAAAAAAGGAGAAATGTTATTTATGTATTTATACGTTGAAAGAAACAATTGTAACAATTATAGAGTTTGACGATTCATGGAAAGAAAATCTTTCAGTCTTGGAAAATTTCTATATAAAACAATACCTACCAAAGTTGTTAGAAAATTAATTAATAAATTGTGAATTTTTATTTAATGTGCTTTTATTTAATTCCACAATGTAAGCAGATGGAGTACACTGTTTGAAAAATGTATATCATTTATTTTAGACTGAAAACTCCGATCATACAATCAAGGTCCTTATTCTTGGAACAGGGGAGCAGCGGAATACTCGTTCTCCTGGGAATGCTGCTTCTTGCTCCAAGAATAAGGACCCTGATTGTATGATCGGAGTCGGATCGGAAGAATGCATGATAGATGTGTCCAGAGCTTAAAAAGTTTAGTTTTAGAGGAAATCAGGAAATGATTGAAGATTTTTTTTTGATATAGGTAACATTTGCTCGATAAACATTTTTTTTAACAATTTTAGCTATTTTAATTGCTGTATTGTACTGTAGATATAGTTGGGTGACAATTTTTTGTGTGTAGATATCGGGTCTTCAAAAAAAAAAACAACTGAGAAGTGCTTTGATTGTCATTATTGTTTCTTTATTGGTCAGGATTTTTGACATTAAAGTTCACTGACAAAGAAAAATATTGTTAAAACATACGTTCAAAAACCCATAGCAATCTTTGATTAATTTTTTTTGAAGACCCCTGATTATATGTTAAAAAAAAAAACTAGAACATAACTTGTGACTCACATACTTTATTCGACGATTGTAAATACATACTGAAGTATACTGACAAGAAATACAATTTTACTTGTATTTGTTTACTTTATGAAAAATGTTGGTTGGATGTACAGGTTTTTATCAAATTAAAGAAACTGGAAATATTTCAAGAGAGGAGTATCATTATTACTCAAAACAAAAATTTTATAAGAGCAAGTTATTTATAAACTAAGTAAAATCTAAATATAAATTTTTTAAATAAAAATTTTAAGCAGAATTTTTCACAAAACGAATGTTAAATAAAGAAATAATTATGTTTGCCACAATGAAAAATTCAAATTAAGTACATATGTTTAATAAAATACCTACATAACTAAAACTAAAAATTATAATATTATATCGTCCCACTCGTCCTTCAATAATATTCCTGAACCTCTTTAATCGGGGGATATTGGAAGTTGGTGAGGGCTGCACAGAGTTGGAAAATAATTGAAATTTGGGACATATAATGTGATGGAATCTGTTGCAGAATGTTATAACATTTTATTCTTCTGGCCCGTTCTACATGTATCCTAGCCTTCGCAATTTGTTGTGTTTCATAAACTTGAGATTCCGTGAACTGTAGTGTTGTCAAAAATGGAGGGATATTCAATGATACTCCTGCAGGAAGAAGGTCCTTGATAAGGAAACCTTTATCTGCAAATATTAAATCTCCAGCCACCATCTGATCCAGAACTTTACTCTCCTCAACAATTTTTTTATCTGCTGTAGACCCTGGAAAAGCCTTGCTCACGAAGGTGATAACACCATTTGGTGCAACACCTACCAACAATTTCCAAGTGTTCCGGTGTTTGTAGGAACTGTACGTCAATCTCTGCTTTTCCATGTTTGCTGGAATTGCTGAAAAAATTTCGGTGCAATCTAAAATTATCCTGCAATTTCGAAAATTTGTGAAAGCAATAGGGAGGCAGGCCTGATTCTGTTGTCTGGATGGTATATTGCACATCAAGTTCTTGAATAGGACTTCATGTAGAGCATATATCCATGTCATAACAATGTTGGTTACTGTAGCTGTACTGCAACTAAATCTAATACTTAAATCTTCATGTGGAAGATTAAGCCTTAGTTTCATCAAGGTCATTAGCAGCTGATCAATTTTGGGAATGATCTGAACATTCCATCCAGCATAGTATTTTAATTTAATGGTGTCCATAAGTTCAAAAAGAACCATGTACAGCTCATTGGTTGGAATTCCAGTATACATTAGCAAATGGGCATCATTTTTTTTGATAATTTCATAGCTAAACTGTGTCGTTAACTGTTCCAGTTTTTGAGTCAATTGATCCACCTGTTGCCTTAAAAAGTAATTCTCAGCATTTTGGAATGCAGATGACGGACTCAATAGTGAAGCATCAAGTTTTATTTGAGTCACTTGATGTTGCTGTTTCGAAAACACTGGCATCAGCTCGGATGAACAACCTGGTAGAGGCTCAGTTGAAGGTCCTGGTAGTGGCTTATCTGATGGTCCTGGTAAAGGTTCATTTGATGGTTCTGGTAAAGGCTCAGTTGAAGGTCCTGGCAAAGGCTCAGTTGAAGGGCCTGGTAGTGGTTCAGTTGAGAGACTATTATCAACCTTTTTCACGGTTCGCTTCCTAAAAAAAGTACTTGATTAGACTATAAAATAAAACAAAAAAGTTTTTTGAAAGCTGGTATAATCAAATTGTCACTTAATCGTTTATTGCAGGTGGTTCATAGGCATACGAGCAAAATGTTTCTTGAAGTACCTATTCTGCCCTCCTAAGAATAAACGCCGTATGTTTAACAATTTCGGATATCGAGTTTTTGTTGCCAAAAATTTTCTTTTGCTTTAACTTAGCTGTCTGCCACATATGAACGCCGTATCTTAACTAGAACTATTTAAAACTATACACAAAAAACCTGCCGTATGTTCCTATTACCAATTTGTGCCAAATATGAATGCGGTATCTAGGCTCTACCAATAATAAAGGCGGTAAAAATACTGGCTGCTTGCGAACTTACCGCGTTTATCTAAAGTATGTGAATAATGCCGCGTTTTTCTTTGGTATTGACGAATTGCGATGTCACTTTCTTGCAGGATTAGACTCGCTTTTCATTTTTCGGTAAATTAGATGCATTTGAGGTGTGAATGGCTCATTATTATTGTAGTTCAATTGTCTGTTTTCAGTGTTCTTTGCTGTCTATTATTTGTTAATGTGAAAAAAATATATAGATTTCTTAGGTAAGTACTAATTTTTATTTTCATAATAGTTCATAGTTTTTTTTTTATCAGTGAAATTTTGGTACCTGACTTATTAATTATGATCTATTGGAAATGTGGGAAATCAAAAAACTTATTTTATTCCAGAAAATGAGTTTCCGAAATCGGACAAGTTTGATACTTGAGTTGGCTTCCAAGAAGTTTCAAGAGCTATCGTCAGAAAATTATGATGATGATGATGATGATGAACCAGTTTTGAATCCTTTATCACCAGTGCCCATGGCAGATTTTGCTAATAGTAGTTATAGTAGTAGTTGCTGCGGAATCCAACCGAATGAGTTATCGTACACACCTTTAGAAAACATGTTTCAAAACGATAGTTTGATGGAATCAGCACCCATGCTTACATGCCAGCCACGAGAGTCTTTTTCACAAAATTGTTCTGGAAATACAGATATACCAGACGACCTTGTACCTGTCCAAACGGCAGTAGCTGCTCCAACACACCAATTTCTGATTCCCCTAAAAACATCCTGTACAATTTCAAATAACCATATTTCCTACGCCCAAATTCAAACCGAATGCTCGACCGAAGCTGAGCCAAACGTTTCTATTATGATGGACCTAGATAATTTTACGAGGGATGATATTACCCCGAATATCGTTGGTGGTAATGATGATTTGAATCAAATAGAAAATTGTGCCGCGCAGAAAACATTTGAATTAAATGGTACAGATACAATTACTGCTGATATTCAAGAAATGGAGGAAAGTAGTGATGAAGAGGATAACATGCCACTTAGCAAGTTGATTGGATCAGGAAAGATAATAAATATTGAGAAGTCAAATTATACGAAAAAAGGTACTATTAGGAAAAGGAAGAAACCAAGAACTACCGAAGAATTATATGAAGACAAAGAAAAGCGACAAAAATCTATAATAGAGAAGCACCAAGTACGGCCTGGATGTAATACAAATAAATGCAGGAAAAAATGTGTCTCAATTTTTTCAGAAACTGAACGAAGTGATATAAATAAGCACTTTTGGCAACTTACGAGTCAAGAAAGGAAGAGTTATATACTAAGTTCTTGTGACCGCTTAACAGTAAAAAAACGTCGTCATTGTGAAGACACTCCCAGGAAAAACAATACTTTTAAATATCACTTTAAAACAAAAAATGATGAGCGACGAGAAATATGTAAAGTCTTTTTTTTAACAACGTTGGGATTTCAAAAAAACAATGATAGGATTGTTCATGACACACTTTCAAAAACTCCTAGAGGTCAATATCTTCCACTTCCAAACATGCGCGGAAGGGCAAAAAATAAATACAAAATTGATGATACAGTGATCAATGAACATATAGAATCATTCAACCCGAGCATTTCACACTATAGGCGTGAACATGCTCCTAATCGAAGGTACCTTCCGAGCGACATATCGATTTCTAACATGCATGAAGATTTTGTTTCTAAACATCCAGATCTAAAAGTGTCATATGAATCCTATAGAGTTAAAGCAAGAGCAAAGAACATTTCCTTTGCAAAACTAGGCAACGAGGAATGTGAAATGTGCGAGGAAGCCAAACTACATGAGCACACAAAAGATAATTTTCAAGTAAATTGTGAAATATGTGTCAATTGGAAAAGGCATATCGAACATGCGGATAATTCCAGAAAACTATATCGAAAACAAGCTAGTGACGCAGCTAGTGTCTGTGTTTCTGTAGATCTGCAAAAAATTATAATGCTTCCTAGAATCGACTCATTCAAAAGAATTATATTTGTACAAAGATTGACCACATATCACGAAAGCTTCGTTCCACTGGGAAAAAACTCGAAGTTACCACCGTTCGCAGTTATTTGGAATGAATCTATAAGTGGGCGCAATAAGGAAGACATAATAAGCACATTTTATGCCTTCTTATTAAGTCAAAGGGATGCAAATCTTATTAACTTTTGGCTGGATAATTGTGCCAGCCAAAATAAAAACTGGTGCTTTCTGACATTTTTAGTAAGAATGGTCAATTCAAGTGAAATTGCAGCCCAAGAACTCATAGTAAACTATTTCGAACCAGGCCATACGTTCATGGCGGCTGATAGCTTTCACCACCAGGTTGAGTTGTCACTGAAGAGACAGGGAAAAACTTATGATTTTGACGACTTTGTTCAAGCAGTCAGCACATCCAGAAAATCTAAAGTCGACGTAAAGATGATGACTCATAACGACTTCTACTTATGGCAAGATCTTAAATCGCAGGCGAAACTTAAGCAAGATTTAAATTTCTCGCGCTTGTCAGATATTGTGCAAATAAAAGCTACTCGAGGAAAGTATATTCTCCAGTACAAAACATCATTGACAGACGAGGAAGGTTTTAAAAACTTAGATTTTCTATGCAAAAAAGCTATGAAAAAATCTGGACCTTTGTTGGCACCAGTTGCTTCTTGTCCCAAGCCATGTGGTTTTTCAAAGTCCAAAAAAGAAAAGTTGCTCAAAGCCCTCGACGGTATTATTCCAGAGAACCGGAAGCAGTTTTGGGTGAATCTTCCAGAGTGCGATGATTAAAACTTATGTTCGATTTGCTTTTATGTTAATTTTCCATTTATTTTATATTATCAGTTTTTTTTTTATTACAAATTTTTCGTGTGATGAATAAAATTTAGTTTTCTATACTTTTATGTTAATTTTCGATTTAATTTCATACAAACTCATATTTTGGTAATATATTTTTTCTAAATACAAGTAAGTTTTTTCCATAAAAGTTTCATACAATAGTAAATACAGAAACCAAATTAAGTTTTAGCATATACTGCTTTCATTTTTAGCATCTGATACCAAACACCTCTGGGAAACTTTAAAGAAAAACGCGGTATATTCAATTTATTCGGAATACCGCTTTCATTCTTGGTGAAACTCCTCATAATAATAAGAATAAATGCGGTATGTAGATTTCTGGAAAAAGTATTGAATTTTAAGAAATTAAAATACGTTCTATAGAATTCTGGAGATATTTAATACAAGAATCTACAATAAAAATTATTTAAATGTCATAAATGCGAAAGGGCAAAGCCAAAAACTTTAAAAGTCAATATTTCAGTTCACCGCCTCATGAACATACCGCGTTTATTCTTAGGAGGGCAGTATTCACCTAATTAAATTAATTTCTGCCTTAAGCAAACCATTACGAAGAAAAGTCTTGAAGGATTAATAAATACAAATATTATTTTTTAAATTATTCTTGGTATCTTCTGCATTCACAATTAAACTAACCAAATTAATGAAATTAGTAATAATCTCAGGGCTTATAGAACCAAAACTTTGTATAAGCTGATACCTACTTGATGGAAATCCATTGCAAATTTTGAAATAAAACAAAAATGTTTCAAATCACAACTAAAAATATGTTATAACCCAGTAAATGTGTCCCAGGTGAGTACCAAATAATCAAAAAAGGCCTAAAATGTACAAAAATGTAGTAGGTTAAAATATGCTAATAAGTCTGCAAGTATGGAGATAAATAGAAAAAAGTGGTCAGGTACCAAATTTTTACTTCATGCATCAATGGGCATGCTGGGATTCAAAGAAGTTTCATTGTATATTCCTAATTAACATAATTTAACCTATTGTTGTGATTATATTTTTCTAAATTCAAACCTTTTTTGATTACTTTTCGCCTATTCAAACCATTGCCCCATGCCTTCACTTATAATTTTATTCTCTTGTGCTTGCTACCTGTGAGCCCCAATTTCTATTGTTCTGGAGTGGTCAAAAAGTAGTTAAAGGGTGAATGCCTCCAATACTACAAGGGTGCGTTTTATTTTATATGTAAAAGATACTGAAACCAATCGACAGGCAGGTATAGAAATATTTGTTCACTTTGTAAAGGATGGGATTAAAATTGATCGAGTATGATTGATTATACCAGCATTCAAAAAAATAGACTATGATGGTACTTCTGCAACAAAATGCTTACCTTCTTTCTGGTGATTCGATGTTAAACCTCTTGTGAATGTTAAAATTGAACAAAGTTGGCCCATTCTTCTTTTCTCCATTTAGAAAGTGACAATCACACACTTTTGCAGATTCACCTGGGTTTCTATCTTTTCGTCTGTAAATAAATAAATTTAAAACATAAATCTTTAAAAACAATAATGTTATCATTATTTTACCTTATGAGAGAAATCCATCTATTCCTTTCGGTCTTGTTTTTTGGGAAACGAAAAAACCTACATTCATGCGTTGAACTGTAATGTTTACAGTCCGGCACGAAGCACATACCCATTCTAAGGCAGTCCTGGGTCCTAAAAGCCCCAAAAATTAACTCAATTATCCTCGAAAACTCATAACTATTAGTAAATAACAAAAATAAACAACAAAAACGGTTTAAAGCATAACCTCAAAAAGCTCTAATGCAAAATTGTTATCTTAAATTGACTCACCTGGGCAAAAACAAATAAAAATCACTCAAATAGCACGTTTCGTCAACAATTTATCCAACTGGAAAGTCTTATTTAATGAAATAATCCACAAAAACAAGAACTGAAAGAATGGTTATGCGGATTTACCATTAAATACGAAATTGTTTGGACCCAGTATAGGCTCCGCCCACTTTTGTGACGTCAAGGCTTAGGCTGTCTATTGTGGTGAATGACAACTGACAAATAAAACTACTGATAGCGTTTTCTAATGAATAGGCTCCTCAAATTTCACTGGCACTCGAACTGGTTACTCTAGTACAGTTCCAGTGTAACATTCATTTGGCACTCGTTCATTGGAACGAACCGACACTTTGGTGTCGGTTCGAACTGCACTAGAGCTATTTTACATATTAGTTGGACTGCTATTCGCGAACATAAAATCGCATATAAATTAGTTTGGTTTAGGAATGGTTACCAATCATGTTGAAAACAACAGCTCTCGAACTGAACGCTTTTATAGAAAGCGTTCGAGAATTTTCTTTATGAAGCATCGTACAGACTTGAACATTACCCCGAACACCGAAATTTAAGTACAACATCGAAACACCACGCCTGTCATCTGTTCTTCGAACGAGTTTTGAGTGCACTGAATAGTTGTATTCCTTTCGAGAGCTTGAAACACTAGAGCTACTCGCTCCGGTGTTAGTCGACTCCGATTTGAAAGGAACAGATGCACTGGCTTTCATGCATCTATTTTTTTTTTAAAATGATTTGAGTCGGGCTTCAGCACTCAGGTGCAACAAACACTTTTCGAAAGGAATAAAAGCGTAACGCCCCGGAGCTCGTCCTAGGTGTGAAAGGAATACAACTAGTGAACACACCCAACTGACAAGTGTCAAAATATTCAAATATGACATATTGCTGACTTAAAAGACGGTTGATTGTCGAGATTGTTCATTTTTTTCGACAGTTAAATTTTCAAATATACCAGTATTACCCAATGTATTACCAGTGTCCTCGTACTCCTCAGTCCCCGAGCAAAGCAAAGTGCAAACCAAACCAATCGTCAGCAGGAATCACAAAGAAGACGTAGGAATGTAGGAGTAATTTATGGGTAGAGAATACCAAAGGATCAGTGCAATTTTAATCAAAGATTTTTAACAAATTATAATGAGTAACGAACATTCGACATCAACTCAGGAGTCCCAGGCCGAAGGCATTGAAGGCGGTCTAAACCTGAATATGGACGCCTTGGAAGAGCTTGACTTTGATATGTAAGTTTTAATGGGGATGTATAATATATTATTATGTAAAAAAAATCGGAGTACAACATTGAAAACCTCAACTCTTCGTCTGATTTCTATCAAAAGATATCAGTCTATAGTCGCAGCGTTTTGCTTAAGTTTTTGAGAATACACGACCTTGGGCATTCTTACTAACTTGTGTGTGTTTGCGTTTAATCGGTAAGTTGAGCAAGTATAATCAGCTTTTTTCATTTCACTGCTTATAATTTGTTGGGTTGTAAAGAGAAATGGGTGACCCCCCTGTAAAACTATCCATTAATTCTGACCAATGTTCTGACATTCCATTGAATAAAAAAGAAAACAACATTCCTCAATCGCAAATTGATTTGAATAAAAATAACCTTTTTTATGAGCCTACAGATAAAGGTCCCTTTATTGTATATTGAGAAACGACTGAAAAAGTCGGATTTTGCAATTGGCAAATCCAATAACATTAAAATAGCTAGAGACATTTTTAATCTTAATTTGACCGACGTATTGAAGGTTTCCAATAAAGGCTTGAATAGAATTTCGATTCAGTTTATTACATGCAATGCCGCAAATTCATTCATAAATAATAAAACCCTTTTAGACAAAGGTTACAAAATATATACCTATCCCCTTTAATTTTGTCACGTCAAAAGGCTTGGCCAGAAAAGTAGATTTAGATTTAACTGAAGATGAATTGTTGAGCGCTTGTGAGACTTATGATAAAATTAAAATAGTTAATGTTAAGAGACTAAACAGAAAAGTATTTAAAGACAAAACGGTCTCCTATGAGCCTACAAGTACGGTGCTTTTTACCTTCAGGGGGGTTAGACTGCCCCGTTATGTTAAATTTTTCTATCTAGAATACCCAATCGAAATTTATATTCCGCCTGTCACACAGTGTTATCGTTGTCTAAGATATGGGCATACACATAACAATTGCAAGGGAAAAAAAAAATGTTTTAGTTGCTCAGGAGAAATTCATATGCAAGAAAATGAGGAACCCTCCTGTGAACCTTGTTGCTTTTTCTGTAAAGACAATCATAAATCTAATTACAAAAAATGTCCCGAATATATTAGGCAAAAAAATCAATCAATCAATCAAAATATACTTTATTGTCGGAAAAATAAATTTCATTGACAAAGCATGATCTTAAATAATGTGCAAGTAATTAAAAATTATCGGGTTATAAAAAAACAAAAAGAGGTACAATCAATAAAATAAAAAATAAACATAAACATAAATGTCAAAGCATAATCCTAAGCAACACATGTACAATTTTTACTACATCAAACTATAGAGTCATATAGAAGGTACAGCCAATACAGAAAAAACATAAAGGTTGCGGTCAGAACAAAACAAAACAATGAAACAAACAAAATTAAATTTTTTCATTTAAAAATTCATTAATATGATAGTAGGCTTTTCCATGTAAAAATGTTTTGAGCTCTAGTCTAAACTTTTTAAAACCACCTATCTGCCTTAAGTTAACAGGCAGATGATTAAAAATTTGCCTACTTTTATAAATTAGTGAATTTTGCGCCAATGCAGTCTTGGGTATAGGAAGCTGAATTTTAAGAAGTTGCCTAGTTGGATAAGTTCTTGGATATTCTAACTCATCATAATGTTTTTTGTGCATAAGGCAAGCAGTTTCCATGATAAATATACAGCATACTGTAAGTATTTTATGTTTTAAAAATAGTGGCTTGCAATGCTCCCAATATCCAACCTTACACAAATAGCGCACTGCTCTCTTTTGAATGACAAAAACAGAATCAAACAATTTATTAGAACAGTTAATAAACAGTTTATAAAAGAACTTATGGCCTTTGAAAACGTAACCTTTTTCGAAGCCAATGATATTTGCAGAAAAAATTATATAACAAAAGGGGATTATATATATAGCCCCAGCGATATTCCCGAGCTAAAGAGGGGTAATAAGTCAATGAATAATTATAAAAATATTTCTGAGACACTTATTGAGCCCAATGAAAGAAGAACTTAATCCTTTAGAACAAAAACCATTAAAAGATCTTTTCAACAGGTGGCGTCTTCAGACACTACCAAAAAAAGGATAATACAGAAAGGTTATGATCGTAAAGCTCATAATGAAAATCTTCTTTCACCCAATTCTAGACCTGAAAAACAAATCTTACCCTCATCTCAGACTCTATCTCCTACTTCAAATTTTACTCAACGAAGAATTGAAGAAATGCCTCCTACTAGTGCAAATTCAGCAAACCATTTTAATCATTCATTTAAACTTTTTGATTTACAATCTGTAATCAACTATCTTAGAAATACGTCGGATAATAATAAAAATATTTGTAGGGAACTGCTCCTGACTGAGTGTAGACCTCAATCCACTATGGATTTAGATCAAACCTCAGATTCAGGTTAAACTTATCAAAGAATTCGGACTCATTATAATCGCAGCTTCTGTTATGATTATTTTCGTTTTTATTTTTTATTTTTTTTTCTATAGTATAAGTACAAATAATAAACTATGAATAATGGGACAAATTTGAAAATAATTCAATGGAATATTCGAAGTGTCAGATCTAATAGAGATAACCTAATGAATCTTATAATGGAAGAAGATCCAGATGTGATTCTGCTCAACGAAACTTGGCTCAATTCAAATCAAAGTTTTTCTTTAAAATCTTTCAATATTACTAGGCAGGATAGAAATGACGGTTATGGAGGAGTGGCAACATGTGTCAAAGACAACATAATTTTTTCCACAACTAAAAAATTTTCTTCAGATTCAATTCAATATATTATTTCTAAAATTGGAGATTTGACTATAATCAATATATATAGTAATTTGAATACTGCTTTCGACTTAAATTTTCTCGATTCGCTTATAGAAGACTTTACTAATCAGAAAATCATAATCATGGGGGATCTGAATTCTCATCATCCTCTTTGGGATAGAGTTTTTTTTTTTTTTTTTTACGGATATGCGCACTCGCAAGGAAATGTCCTATCACGCTCGAGAAGTGGCAAGTGCGCGGAAATGTCGGTGTATGTTGGTCTTGAAACGGTTCAGGTTGTAACCTGCAGGGAAAACCGTCGCAGGGAGTTTATTCCACAGCGATGCTGTTCTCCAGAGATATGAATTCTGATATAATGAGGTTCTTGGTGCCTCTAGTTTGACAGTAAATTCATGGTTACCGTCTGTTTGACGGGTTCGCCTGGTAGGTGCTACTCTCGGTGGAATCATACGTGCCAACTCTTCAGAGCATTTTCCGTGATAGTACCTGTAGAAGAGAGATAAATCGCCCACAGATCTGCGATGTTCGAGACCATCCAAGTTACGAGTAAGTGCGGGGTCATTGATCAGCTTGATAGCTCGTTTTTGCACGGTATTCAACAGCATTAAGGTATGTTTGGGTGTTGCACTCCATATATGTGAGCAGTACTCCATAGTTGGTCGAATCTGGGCTTTGTAGAGTGTCAGCAATTGGCTTGGTGTGTACAGATGTCTTGTACGAAATAGCACCCCCAGCTTTTGGGAGGCCCTTTTAGCAATATCTGCCACGTGACTGTGCCAAGACATGTTGGTCTCTGCAGTAACCCCCAAGATGTTCAACTGACTCTGTAATGTGACAGCACTTCCAGATAGCATGATGTTTGGCTCACCGGTGCTGGTCTTTTTTGAAAACAGAGCTGCTTGGGTTTTCTGCGCGTTGAACTGTACAAGGTTTTTGTTACCCCAGTCCTCTATTATCTCCAGGTCGTTATTTATCTGCAATATTTGAGTTAGTCTAAGATGATGGAATTCACGTGCGGAAAGACCTGTGGGTGGTATGAGTGAGGAGACTACATTGCCATCGTCTGCAAAGCAATAAAGTGGATTTACTGTTTTATCTATGAGGTCATTTATGTAAATCAGGAAAAGAGTTGGCGAAAGGATTGCTCCCTGTGGCACACCAGCATTTATTTGGTAAGAGTTGGAGTTCTGGCCATCCAGTGCAACATAAATGGATCTGCCCTTTAGGTAACTGTCAAACCAAGTGCAAAGTTTCGGCGATAATCCCATTGCTTTGAGCTTGTTGAGCAGATTTTCATGCCAAACTTTGTCGAATGCTTTAGATATATCTAAGGCAATTGTTCTTGTTTCACCCCGCAACTCAATCGTTTTTTGCCATAAGTGAGTGACGTATGTAAGTAAATCGCCAGTTGACCTATATTTTCGAAATCCGTATTGCTTATCGTTGATAATTTTGTACTTTTCCAAGTACTTGGTTAGGTGATTGTTCACAACTCTTTCCATTACTTTTGATATCACCGGAAGTAGAGCAATAGGTCTATAGTTTAACGGATCTGTCTTTTTTCCTTTCTTTGGAATGGGTTGTACTGCGGCAGACTTCCATGATGATGGATATACTCCTTGCCTGTAAGACAAATTGAATAATTTTGCGAAAGTTGGGGTGAGTTCGTTGGCGCAATTTTTGAGTACTATTGCGGGAATGCCATCCGGATCCATTGCTTTGTTTGTATCCAGCTTTTTTAGGGATTTTCGTATTTCTCTGTGACAAAAGGGTACCTCTGGCATACTATGGGAAACCCTTTCAATGAACAGTGGAGTTTGTCCGTTTGGCACTGTTAGGTTGGAGTTGGAGGAAAACATTTGGGCAAGCATATTGGCTTTTTCCTCTGATGTTGTGGCTAAGTGATTATTTTTATCTGTAAGTGGTGGTATGGATGACTTGGTGAAGTTAGATCCAACAGCTTTTGCAAGAGACCAAAAAGATCTAGAACTACTTGGACAATTCAGCAACCTGTTTTTTATTCTTTGATTGTATGTTTCTTTAGCGGAGTCAATAGTAATTTTGCAACTATTTCTGGCTTCTATAAATTCTGTGTGGTTTTGAGCGGTTTGTTGTCGTTTCCAAAGGTTATATGCTCTGTGTTTTTTCTGTACAGCCGTTTGACACTGGCTGTTGAACCAAGGTTTTGCATTAGCTCTACGTTTAGTTGTATGTGGGATATATGC